TGGGACAGATAGTGTAACAAAAGAAACGCCCGGCAGGGCACTTTATAAATCTTATCCAGGCAGGAAGATGTGGGCTTCTTTCATTTAAGCCTGAACAGCCAACCTTTGTGTTTCCAGCAGGCCGCTGTGTTCTAAGCGGAGGACAACAAAGTTAACTCCTTGCAAGAGGAAGTCAGATGCATAAAGGCTACTATGGTTTCATGGGTACATAGCAGTATTTCTTAACTTGGTGTCTACCCGGTGTTTTGGATTTCAACTCCCATCAGCCCTAGTCAATGACTAGGAATGCTGGGAGTTGTAATCCAGAACATCTGGAAGGCATCAGGCTGAGGAAGACAGATATGGAGGTGCTGCACTTGAATGACTATGAGGTCATCACTGGGGAGCAGAACAAAAAGTGTGAAAGCTGAGAAACATTTCCTCATGGTCCACTACATTTCCAAAGTGTGCATGAACTTGAAACATGATCAAGTTGACAAAATGTTGGGATGTACCTGGTCAATGCTGCAGCCAGCTATAGTCTCTTCTAGGAGACGCCATTTACTTACACACGGACAAACAGTCAGCTAACTTTCTCTAACCTCTAAGCATTCTCAGTCCCTCTTTGGGCTGATCTGGGGTTCCTCCACTTGGGGTTCCCCCCAAAATTGGGGGGGTTCATTCTGCAAGCACTGGTTCCCTTGCGCCTGCTGATATCAACCTCATGTGTGTGGAGGGTGCCCTCTGAGTTACAAAGCAATCCACAGTTTCAGTCCTGGCTTATTCTCAGTAACCGTAGCTTTAACAAACCACAGTAGCATTATCACAGGGATGTTTAAAACTGAAATCAGAAGTTCAGCATCACCTTCTTCAGTATACAAAAGAGGGGAGAAAAGAGCATAGGAGCCCAAGGTTCCCCACAGCTTGTTCACACTGCAGGAAACCATGGTTTCCCTCTTATATCTGAACTGGCCCAAAATGTTGCTATTTCCATACAGGGGTCAAACTCATTAATTCTCTTTGGCATCCATCTGCAGCATGGTGAGATGGAAAAACCATTTCTTGAGAAGAGACCAGTACAATCCATACTTGAAACTTTTTGAATATATGAATCATAAGAGTGCATATGTTTAACTAGCTGGCCTTAAAACTGCATGCCACCCCCAGTCTTCATAGCCATTTTCAGCAGTGTCAACAAAAGCAAAAAATTCTGGTAACCTTTTATCACTCCTTATGATCATATTTTTGCTTAAATGTCTGTCACCCTCAATTGCCTTCATTTCCCCTTCTTCCCAGCCTGAAGGCCAAACTGCATCCGAGCAAGCATGTGTGGGATGTCCACACGTGAGGCCGCTCACCACTGGTGACTACCCAGACACCTGGCACAGGCACTCTCCAGACTTTTCAGATGGGGAACCTCCATCTTGTGAGGCAGATAAGATCCATGGGAGGCCCCCTTTCAGCCCTGAGCTTCTCTCTCATCACAGCTCAGAGGTACAGGATTGCCCATTCGCTCTTCCATGTTGCAAGTGAAGCCATCTGAGATCACATATCCTGCGAAGGGGGGTCATCTAACCCCCCACATCTAGTTCTGTACCCCGCTACAGGTGGTGCCAAATAATAGCCCCCTGGAGAATCCAGAGGAATTCCATGGTCCTGAAAGCCACAGAGAGGTCCAAGAATATATCTAAAGGAAAGTCTCCATCCTTGTAAGCCTACCAGTCCCCTAAGAGCTTCACTGGAGGTCCTGCTTCAGAAACTGCCATTAAGGATGCCAGGAAGGCAGCTACCCAGTGTAGAGCCTTTTCAGTTATGGCACCCCAGCTGTGGGATCAGCTCCCTGGAGATGCGCACCAGGCGTCTTCTTTGTACATATTTTAGTGCCTGGCAAAGCCTTTTTTTAAATTTTGGAGTATTTTAACTGTTGATAGAATTAAGTTTGAAATTAAGACTAATTTTAGGTTATTTTAATTGATGGATTTTAAAATTTTAATAATTATTTTTATATAAGATATTGTCCAAACTGGTAATTGTATGAACTCAGCATGGTTGGTCCTCCTGCTGATGAAATGGAAGTGCAATAACAGAGAAGACCCTTTTTCTAGCCAATTTTCCCCCTCACTCCATGTTTTATGTTTTGTTAGATGGCTGTCTGGACAGTTTATAACAATTAAAAACCATGTGGCTATTGCCACAGTTTATAAAAGCTTGCCAGCCAGCCAGCCAGCCAGCATTTATTTGTTACATTTTTCTCACCGTTTTTTCCAAAGAGCCCAAGTGGAATCCATGATTGTCCTGTAGCTCCAAAAATGTGTGAGCTCAGTTAAGCTGAGAGTCAGTGAGTGGCCCAAACTCATTCAGTAACCCCACTACCAAAGAGAAGCGATATCCAGATCTCCCAATTCCAAGCACAGTGCTCTAACCACTACACCACACTTGCATTCCCACCTCTATCATGTCCCTGGTGTATGCCATCTACCAAGTCTACCAGAGTTGCCCCCTTTCAAAGCTTGATGAAATGGGTCACGGTAATCAGTGACACCCAGATATTTCTGAGGTTGTGAGGCTACCAGCTTCTCCATCACGGAGACCAAAAAAGGTATGTTTTGAGTCTGGCCTATGGATTCCCGAGACTACTAGGTCAAGCGAAGTTTTATTTAATCAAGGCAGCATTAATCTCTTCTCTAAACAACAGAGGACAAGCTCCCACCACAAAGAGACATTCATTTCCCTTAATCATGGGGCCAATTCTGCCTTGGCCAACTCAGAGCAAGGGTCAGGTAAGAATGGAGGAGTCCTCACCTATCTAGACAGCGGGGCCACATGCCTGGGATCCACAAGTGGTGGTAAAGGTTACATTCCATCTGACCTGCCCCAGTACAGAAGCCCAAGCCAAGGCACATCTGCACAGCTTTATCCACAAAGATCATACAAATTGCTCACAACAAATCTTTGCCTGCTCTGGCTCCTAATTTCCAGCATGCTGGTGAAGAAGACACTGCCTCGCACAGAAAGGAATCCCCGTCCAGTCTGTGTGGACACAGTGGTGACAGAAAAGTAAGTTTTCTTGGTCGCCCTTGCTGAGACATGAGTCAGTCTCCAACCGGGCTTTTCCCAACTTAGATCTCACACATCTGGAGCTTTCTCTATTGGTATTCTAGCCACCATCTTCTCTGCCTCATTGCACTCAGCTTCCTGAGAAACCAGCATGCTGGACTGGCGCCCCACAAGTGAAAGGGTGTTTACGAGCAAGAGTAGCAATTGCTCAGACCATCTCCATGTCCCACAGGTCAGCCACAACTTTGATAGCACCACCAACAAACACAAAGGAAATTCTTCTAGTAAAATCAGGAAACCATTAGGATTCATCAGCCTCCTGGAACAGACTGTCTTAAATCAGTTCAGAAGCACTGCAGATGATACTTTACATGTCTTCCACAGTTGGATTTCTTATACTGGGAGCCTTAACCATTTTGTATCCATGGACAAATTTGGGAATTTGAGAAAATGCTGTGGGAATCACCATAAAAGTCCTCATCAGTGACACCTAAGTATCATATCCGTGTACCTTAGGCTCCATTGTATTCAGCAAAACTGTTTGTTTAATGTCTAATAGACACAGCAACATCTCTTTAATAAGGGACTATCTAATTCAGTTGATTGCTGGCAGTGTGGTGTAGCTATCTTTTAAACAGATATTTTGGCAATGTGTGGCAGTTGCTGCTTTTTGGGAGAAGGTTATTATACAGATAAATACTGTAGTAGAACAAACTTTAACATTCAGTAATGCACACCCTCTTAAATTATTTACCCTCTTCATAGATATTAACCAATGGAAGGGGAAATTAGTTTTGCAGTCTTGAAAGCTAAAAGATTGATACTGCAAAATTGAAAGAATAGAGATTCACACCCATAATGCAAGGGCTTTCCTTATGTGAATGGATGGCATATAGACAGCACTTTCAACTTACCTAGATTTTCAGTCTACCTTTGTTAAAACCTATGCATAATTGTTAGAAAGCTATATACATTTCACACACATTCATATACATATAATTTTTTAAAGGGGGTATTTTGGATGCCCTCAGGGACTACACTGGAAAATCCCTATTTTACAAAAGGAAATGATTGCTCATCTCTATCTGTAGCTGTGTGCAAACGGCCTCTCAAAATTCTCCACCTCATTTGAGGGCAGAGGAATTAAGAGGACGGATGCATTGTTTCACTTAATTACTCCAACCAGATGAGAAATTCTCCAAACTTTTCTTGGAGTGGGGCCCACTATTAGGAGACATAGCGCGGCTTTTTCCCTAAAACTTTAATATATGTGCTCCCACCGATTTGGAGGTGTTTTTGAGCTGGCCAGGTCCATGCAAGGAGGCTCAAGATGCCATGTGCGTTCTTTCTAATACAGTGTTGTCTCTGCAACTCCCTGGCTGCTCACACTTCCTGGTCCGAAAAAGCTGCACGGTGAGAGAAAGCTGGGAGGCTGCCAGTAGCCAAGAAATGATTGCACAATGAAAGATACAGGATACACACACACAGTCCTTGGCCACCTTAAAAGTAAGGTAATTCTCTCTACTTCATCAGTAGTTGCCTAAAATGAGAGTTTCCAAGGCAGGGAACAAGCAGCTGCTAAGACCCTCTCACTATAGTGACCCACAGACTGGCATAACTTACATGGATAGGCAGCTATGGAGCATTTCTTCATCTAGTCCATAATTTACTGTGGCTGCCAATGATTCTCTAAGATCTCAAGCAAAAAGTCTTTCATGTACCTGCTATTGTTGTTACTTCTTTCCTAAACTGCTCAACAGACGAAGCTCCCTGTGTGGTTCACAACAACTCATAAAAAACATTTTAGGTACAATAAAAACATTAAAATCTCCATCTACAAAACTTAAAACAGAATTTAAAGTCATTTGAGCAGCTAAAACTATTTTGAATATGGCTAGACCAATATAATAGTCCCATGCCATTAAGCGCCTCGGAGAAGGATGCATTCATAACTGGGTACCTACAGAAGAGCTGTATTGGCCCTCAGTGTGGAGATCATTCCGTAATTGAGGGGGGCACCATTAGGAAGGCCCTTTCACTTGGTGCCACCCTTGGAGGTAAGACTTGGAGAAAGTCCTCAGATGTTGATCAAGCTGCCCAGACAGGTTCAAATAAGACGACGTGCGCTGTCAGGCCTTCTAACCTTACATGACTTGGGATTACAACTAAAAGACTCCTTTCGGCTGGAAATACCATGAATTGCATCCGAGGCCTCCTGCATTCAACGCCTGTGCTCTGCTATTCAGGCATAGCCCCTCCGCACCCATCCTAGGGCTCGACAGGCGCTTACATATAACATAAGAATGCAAAAGAATCTGCAGAGAAATGCATATTATAGATGTCGCTCCTCTTCGCAGAGAAATCAGGGATCCCTTGGATTTCAGGAGGAAATATCCTGGAAGGAAAGGAACATGTATAAACACAGCTTCTCTCCATGCTACAATTTGGGCAAAGTTCCACTGCTGACTAAGTATTAACTAACAGGAGCTGTAACTCCTGTTCATCTATCGTATATGGGCCTCATGGGGATTGCGTCAAGAAGACTAAACTTAATTGAGAACAATGGTTTGTTTTTAGGCTCATTTTAGCAATCAAAGTCTCATCCATTAAACACGGAAAAAGATGTAATTTCCTAGCCAACTCCCCCTCCACCCCAAAAAGACCCCAAGCCTGATGACCCCCAGTGCAAAGTGTAACATGACAAAGTGTAATGTGACAAGGCTCAGTGCAAGCACCAGTTTTAAGAATCTTCTTTTCCCATTAAAGCAGGCTTATAATGCCTGCTCACCTGTGAAGAACAAAAATTGCCCCCAGGTGACTAAGCATTACAAAACCTGGCTATTATTTTGTGTTATGGCACACACAAAAAGACCACCACAGAGAGGAATAAGAAACCAGACATGAAAATTTTGCAGACTAGTAATTTTTGTGAACATTAGCAAGGCGATGTTACAACCTTTTTTATGGTGGAGCTGCTCTGAGGATGTAATGGAAGACTAGCAGTTGGGGGGAGGGGAGAGAGAAAGAGAGAGAGAGAGAATATCATCATTATTAGTATTTCCCTCTTGCTGAAAATCAATTTACCAGGTCTGGTTTCAAAATGGTGCACTAACCAGCCAATGGTCTAATCTAGGAGGGCTCTTCACACTTGCCATCATGTTCTACTGGTCCACTTGCACTAACACATGTACCATGAAAAGTGCAAGGATGCCCTGGCCAAATATATGCAGTGGCAGTTTGGTATGGATGCACATGTCAACTCCAGCAACCTGCCTGAAATATGCAATTCACGGATGAGTTTTGTTCATTTAATGCCTCATATACAGGCCTCAGCTTGTAAGCATGATGACTTTATTTTCCCAAAGCTCCTCTATGTAAGCAAAAACCACCCTGCATGTAGAAAAGATATACATCAGGAAAGAGATTTTAGTATAAACTTCTCTCTAATACGCTACCTTACCCCAAGCAGGAGTGGGTGGTTGTATCAGGGGTACATTTACTCCGATATGGTTTTTCCTGTGCTTGTTACCTGGCGTGATAAAGTCAACTCAACTATATCACTTCATTCCCGAGTCATCCTGTTGTTTGTAGATCAGCGTTGGGAATGAAAGGAAGAGTTATTCTTGGTGCATATTGCAAGGTCAGGCAGATATGGACTTGTCAGGTGATGAGGGGTCCTAGGAAGCAGAATGCTTAGACGCTGAAATGGAAGAAGCAGAGGGGCTTATCTCAAGGGCACCCTCCCAAGATTCTCAGGTGGACACTGAGAATGGTCAGGATTTACAGATGCAGGAGGGGGTGTAGAAGTCTGACATGACTCTTGACCCCATGATGCAGCATCAGAAGACACGGCCAACAAACTTGAGGTGGGGGGGTGGACAGAGAGGGAAGGCCCCAGGGGTATTCCAAAGGAGAATGCTGGGAAGTAGCTGTTAGACTGCATTCAACCAACCAGTCTGTGCATGCTCAGAGACTCATTCTTTGCTGACTGTGCTTGCTGGAAGAGCACTGGTGAATAAAGAGCTTTTAGAGAGCAGTCCGTGTTTTGGAAGTGTGAAGGGGGGAACCTGGCTTGTAACAGCCAGGCCTTTGGACTACCTTTTCATACAGTGAGAAGACAAGGATGAAGAAAAGCCAAAGACAGAAAAGCAGCTGTTAGGGATGGAGACAACCGAGTCAGAAGAACAGATACATGAAGCCAGAACAAAATGTGAAAGACGCTTCAAAATTTCAGAGCAAGAAGACATACAAACATACATCGGAAACCACATCTGCCTGCAGAATATTCTGATGACTTCACTGATGTCCATCATGCAGGCATCCTCAGCATGGGGACACAAAGAAGAGAGTTCACATACGCTCACAAATCACAGCTTTCCGCCAGTCATGCAGTGGCACTCTAGAGGTGTTGCAGATAGGCCAGAGCAGATTTGCAGAAACTAGAGTGTTGGCCCGCAAGCACAGCGCTCTGGGTTTGGCTGACAGAACTACAGCCCGAATAACTCCTTCAAGGTTTCTTGTAAAGATGGAGCACTAGTCCATCTATAGCAGGGGTGGGCAATTAATTTTCCTATGGGGCCACATGAGAAACTTTGACAGTTGTTAAGGGCCGGACCAATACACTTACAGCTCTGCTCAATATATATCTCTATAAAAACAGTAAATGAAACATTACAATGATACAATGAAAATGTGGAGCACAGAGCACTATTTAATGAATATTCACAAAAACATTAACATTACATGAAAAGCAATAAATTCAATTCAATTTAGCAGATCCTTCAAAATAAAAGCAGTGCAGTTGTATTGCTTGCATCTATATTACGTCGATATATATTTGCATTGACTTTTAATTTGCCAGTGACCTCATGCGGGCCAGTCAGGGTCAGCCATCGGGCCGGATGCGGCCTGTGGGCCGTACTATGCCCTGGGCTGATCTATAGCTTGGTTTTCACACACAGCAGTTCTCCAACTAAATCTTTTCATGACTCCACGCCCTTCTGCATAAAAGCCAGGTGCTCCACTAAGCCGCTGGAACTCCTAATCGTAGCATCCCTTCAAACATCTGGCGCACCAACAAAAAATATTGTGATGAAACACAAGAAAGGCTAGAAGCCCAGCAGCCCAAGATATGAGACTTCTTAAGAAAACTGAAGTTGATGCCAGCAAACTGGTGTTTCCTGTACAACTGAAAGCAAGAGGAAGAACAACCTCGCAAATTCTGCTAAATTCCGTATGTTTTTCAGTGATCCAAACATGTGAAGAAGCTGTCTTCTACCTACCTATATTTAAAGTTTATCTTTCTACAAGAGCCGAATTAGTATACATTTGCAGCTGCAGTATAGAAAATGCCATAGTTCGAGTGCCTAAATACACACACAATACCCCATAATGTCTACTCCTACAGGTAGTACCTCTTCAAGTCTTGAGGTTCTCAGCTTTTTCTTTAACTCAATGTACGCATATGAGGCAGGATCCAGAACAGACCCTGCACAGGCAAAAGAGCTTTAAAACCTTCCCACCAAACTAAATTTTTCTCCCCTCTAAATTCGCTCCCACACATCCACCATGGTGACTAAAAATAAGAAAAGCTCTATTGGCATCAATAGACTTTTCCATTCTTGTTAACTCCTGAAGGGGAAGCAGCTGGATGGGAACTTTGCTATACATCCCACTCCCAAACCAGATCAAACCCCTCACCCACCCTCTGGCAAAAATCTCAAGCTATACTACCAAATAATTTTTGCTCTGGCACTGCAAAGAAATTGAAAAGGTCTCTTCTACATGCAAAGCGTATGTTCAACTATCCAACACTTTCTAAGCAGTATCATACAATGTGCGACCAAGCACTTCTGATTCCCGGAAGGAGCTTGAAATACATACGGGCTTGGACTTCCCTATTCTTTCCGTGTGTCTGGGAATATTTCAGTGCTTACATAATGTGAAATCCTTGTGCATTCATTGATCATTTCCCTTCAGAGGTGAATAGGCTCCCCACTCCACTCTGCAGGACTTTGAGCCACAGCGACAGAATAAAGTGCTCTTGAATTAAGATCCTTCCCATTTCATTTTCTTAGGCAGAATGAAATCTTATCTATTTAATTACAGAAGTAATTACTCCTTGTAAAATGTTACTATCTCACAAACGCAGAAGTAAAAGAAAAAGTCAAAAGGTATATTCATGCTATTGTGAGATTTTAAAAATAAGAAGCATCTTTTTAATTGCTGGGATTCCGTATAATATACATGGAAACAGATACCCCATTCTTTACCTTTATATGCTTCTGTACATTTGGTGCACAAGTCTTTCCTCTTAAATAGTTATTCCCATCACAACTGATGGCAACCTGCAGTGTTCTATTTAAACACTGATATTTTCATATCCTGGCTGAAAACAAACAATCCAGGCCTAATAGAAAGAGGCCCCTTAAAGTTTATGAGCAGTTTCCCCTTCAGCTAGATATGACTATTACATGCACATTCTCGCTGGAGTAAATGCAGAAGGCTCTACCAATGATGAAAAGTGCACACGTGACAGGTACCCTATGGCAGTGTGGTGCAATGGTCTAAAACTCTGCATCAAGCCTCTGCCTGAGTATAAAGCTCACTTGCTAACCCTGGTTTGATCACACCTCAGCAACAAACCACCTTTCTTGGAATTGTGAAAGTGGCGAGATATAAATGAGGATGCACATTGCTCATGAAAGCTGCCCAACTGCAAGCTTTGGGTTGTTCCTCTGACTTGTCAGGGACAGGATAGAAGTCAAGATCCTGGTTTGCGCATAGCAATAACCCAACCACAGATAGAAGCTATGTAGGCTTGCTTAACTGTCCCTGCCCGCAATGCAATGAATCGCAGAGGAACCTCATTCATGATGGCCCCAAAGCTTTTAAAAATTGTGGTCTGTCATGACGTGCTAACTAGGCTTCTCTCCTTCTCTGTCTGCCACAACCACCTAAGTTTTCCAGAAGGATACAATAGAGCAAAAGGCCAGAATACCACTCCAAGCAGCTATGAAGGCGAGCCCAATAGAAGTTCACTATAGATAGGCCCAACTCAGTTCACTCTGCAATACTCATTTCATTCCACTGCTTCCGTATCTTTGAAGCAATTTTTCACCTACTCCAAAAACAAGAGTACCAGCCCCAAGAGGCTTAACCACTCAAAAATAAAGTTGGCTTCTGATAATCAAAGTGAAACCATTGCAATGGAGAATGTTAACACCTCCATCCTACTAGCAACACAGCCTATCAACTTATTTGTGTACAGGTAAATACAGTGGTGATAATTAACCCAGCTAGCCTTTAAAAGGAAATTGAAGGGAAAAGCCTCTGAATGTTAAATGCTACTGTGTTAGTGTACACACACACACTCTATAACAAGGAAATCCATTCTATTCTGAGCCCGAAAAAAAACACAGAACAACTTACCCAACCAAAAACATTGAGCATTTG